CAGATGATCGCAGGTATGTTGTAATAATTATACTGATATCAATATAGTTATGCTGTATTTAGTTGTATACCCGATATTTATTTATCTGAATTCAAAACTATCAATAATATATACTAGGAAATGCAATAGCATTGTGTGTCCGAAGCTATTATTGAAATTTCAATAAACTCGTGATTGACAACCAATCAGAGATGCGGAAGTGACAGAATCACGTGATAGTGTAGATCAAAAATAGATGTCCTCGAACAATAACTATTTTACTAATTCATTAATTTGGTGCTCGCTCAAAAAAGTAGATTGCTTGATATAAATTTAAAAGAAACATATTTGTCCGTTCCTGGTTTAGCGCGACAATGTCGCGCAGCTACTTATTAAATATTATTACGATATCTGCAAAAAGGATAACGGATAATATCAGATTTAGACATGGAGTGTTTGCCTTGAAAATGACCTTACAGACTATGCAGATTTTATGAATAAAAATTAAAATTTCTAACCATCTAATAATCTAATTTTTTTTTTATCTTTTAGAACTCACTAAGCTCTACAAAATAAAAAAAAAAATTATTTAAATTGGATTACTGGATAGCTAGAAATTTCATAAAATCTACATAGTCCGTAAGGTCATTTTCAAGGCAAAGGCCCCATATCCGTTTAAAAAATATATGCGTTAAATCCGGATATAGACATCCGGTGACATTTAGCCCGAACAATGATGTTTACTTTTTGGGGATGGGTAGTGGTTTCGGACCACAAATCTCGGTTTAGGACACGAAACTGGGTTCAGAACCGCAGACCCTGGTCCGAGACCACCGATAGTGGTCTCAAATTGGCATAATTTGAAAATGTATAAATATGACGCTAATGCTAATAAAGGTCAATAACTCTTTGCTCCGATAAAGTCACCAAATAAAGAAAATACATAACCCGTACGTATTATAGACAATATTAATTTTACTAAGCTATACTAATTTTATTTTGCTAAGCTACACAAATCACGTACGTCGAGTTCACATCCCTTTTGTACTCTTTTTTTTTTTTTTTACATTACTCATTACACATGCATGTGCGTCAGAGAGCAAGTCACCAAGCAAGTCCCTAAGCCGCTCTTACTCTCAATTTATCCTTTTCATTATTATTACGTATTATTATTATTATTATTATTTGGGGAGGGACCGGGTGGGTCCTCATGAAAGAGTCAGGCACTTAAATATCATATTTCTTTCTTCCCTTTAACCTTAATAGTAACAATGCTTTCACATCTATGAATTTCTCATTAACTTTAATAGTAACAACGCTTTCACAACTATGATTTCCTTTAACCTTAAATGGCTCAATGCTCTCACAACAATGAGTTTCCCCTATCGATATTATTCCCTTAAATACTAACATGTGATGATCCTTGCGATAATAACCTTAGCATGACTGTCGTCATGCATCAGGTTAAAATTAAATGTG